CGGGACACCATCACAACATGACCGGGACACCATCACATGACCGGGACACCATCAAAACATGACCGGGACACCATCACAACATGACCGGGACCAAAACATGACCGGGACACCATCAAAACATGATCGGGACACCATCACAACATGACCGCGCCACCATCACATGATCGGGGCACCATCAAAACATGACCGGGACACCGTCGCAACACGACCGGGACACCATCAAAACATGCCCGGGACACCATCACAACATGACCGGGACACCATCACAGAATGACCGGGACACCTTCAAAACATGACCGGGACACCATCACAACATGACCGGGACACCATCAAAACACGACCGGGACACCATCAAAACAGGACCGGGACACCATCACAACATGATCGGGCCACAATCAAAACATGATCGGGACACCATCAAAACATGACCGGGACACCAGCATCACATGACCCGGACGCCATCAAAACATGACCGGGACACCATCCGCCCACCAGCTCTGACAGTGACCCGACGGCGCCCGTCCGCCTATTAGTTTTGCAAGACCCCATAGCATGGCTATTGGGGAAAAAGAAAAAGAACAAGCACGTGGCACAGCATAGTGTCAAGCCAGAAATCAAGCAAGAGATCAAGCAAGAAGAGGAGGAGATAGATGATAGCACGGCAACTTTTGGCGTCAGTGAACCACCGCCTGAAGACCAGCTCGAATGTCCAAGGCATGCTGACTTTGGTGTGAGCCCACCTGCTCAAGATACAGTCGATGAGCCAACCAAAAATGACAGTCTGGGCCCAACTTCTTTTGTTCGTGAGTGCGCAGCTGATGGTGGCAGCGTCGCAGAACCTGGACGCTTGGCTTCGTCTGTTTCAGAACCTGGAAGTGAAGCTGACGCAGGCCTTGGCTCAGCTTCGTGTTTGCCAGAACTTGGAGTTGGTGGAGCTGAAACTTCAAATGGCGATGCTCCTGGCCCATCGTCATCTCTTGGAGAACCAGGGCATGAAGCTGGTAGTGAGAGATCTTCCTTACCTGATGCTGGAGGCGAGGCCACGC